CTCCTCCTCTCTCTCTCTCTCTCTCTCCCTCTCTCTCTCGCTGACCAGTCTTTTTTTTTCCTTCTAGGGAGAGTGCTCTCCTCCCAGACCATCGGCGTGGAATTCGCCTCGCGCATTGTGAAACTCGGCACCGGTTCGCGCCGGAGACGCATCAAACTCCAACTCTGGGATACAGCAGGCACAGAACGCTTTCGATCCGTCTCAAGATCATACTATCGCGGCGCAGCAGGCGCAATTCTCATATATGATGTCGCTTCTTACGCTTCCTTCACCTCCCTCCCGACCTTCCTCATGGACGCCCGCGCCCTCGCTTCCCCGAACCTGTCCGTCATCCTGGCCGGGAATAAAGCTGATCTGACCTCCGACGCCCAGTCCGATTTCGAAGATAACTCCCGCCGGCCTCCAACCCCGTCTAGTATTTCCAGCAGACAATCGTCTATCCCCTGGGATGTGAATGGGTCGATTCGCTCGACCAGCCTGATGGGGACGGGGACTAGGTTGACTGCTACTCGTGCCTCGGAAGGCAGAGAGGTTAGCTCCGAGGAGACATCCCACTGGGCTGCTAAGTCAAATATACCCGTCGCTGTGGAGATCTCAGCTCTGACGGGGGATGGCGTGGAGGAAGTCTTTAATCGTTTGGCGCGTATAATCTTGACAAAGATCGAGCTCGGTGAGATCGACCCCGATGACCCGCAGAGTGGCATCCAGTACGGGGATGGAGGTCTATACGGTGGCAGCGATGCTTCGAGCATCAGAAGTCGGGCAACGTTGGACGATAGCTCCGTACCCCTCCAGCGCAGAACTCCCCGTCGAAAGGGCAAAGCTCCTGGCACACCCAACTGGAAGAGCGGGATGAGGGAATGGGAGGATGTATTCCGCTTGGGCTCTGGAAGTCGCCCAAATCAAGGGTGTTGTTAGTATCATTTGTTGTATCACCCTGCGTATATTTTGCCTCTTTTTTGGGTTTTGATTTGGACTTTTCGTTTGACTACACCGCACGATACCCCCTCGTTGACCTTGAACATTTCTACATCTTACTTGATTTACCCAACAGCTCAGGCCTCCAAGAGGAGTTGTTACATCTCAACCTTTTGATTCGTCTCTCGTTCAAAATCTGCTTTAAAAAAAAACGCCCCGTTTACCCCCCATGTTTCGGTTCTACAACGGCTTTACACATCAATACCGGCAATCAAGGTCTTGATGCCCTTGCCAGCCTTGACTTCAATAAAGGCCTGCTCAGCTTGATCAAACTTGACCGTGCCGGTAATCAACTTCTTAACGTTGACCTTTCCGGAGGAAACCAGCCCAACGGCAAGCTTGTAGTCTCCGCTACCATACCGGAAGCTACCCTTGATGGTCAGCTCCTTGGAGCACGCCGCCATGATGGGGAACTGGATCTCGCTGCGGCCCATGCCACCCTGCACGTACGTGCCTCCGTTACGTAGAACATGGATTCCCGTGTGCACGGAAGGCTCAGCGCCCGAAGCGTCAATCGCCACATCGGCGCCAACGCCGAGCCCATTCTCTTCTCTCAGGCGCTCGGCGTTCTCAGTGGCTGCAACCTTGCTAGGCAGGAACGTCGACGTCGTTGCGTAGTCCTTGGCAAAGTCAAGACGCTGCTGCTGGATATCCACGGCGATGACCTTGGAGGCGCCAAACGCAGTCGCCACGGCGCAGCACAGCAAGCCTACGGGGCCGGCACCGAATACAACCACCGACTGACCCGGGCTGACGCCGGCTTGGCGCACAATATGCACAGCAACACCAAGAGGCTCCATAAGCGCCCCCTCCTGCAGGGAGATGTGCTCGGGGAGCTTGTAGCAGAAGTCCTCGGGGAGAACATAGTACTTGGCGAGGGTGCCGTCATAGGGTGGGGTTGCGGCGAAGCGCATGTCCTCGCACAGGTTGTACTTTCCGGCCTTGCAAGGCTCACATCGGCGGCAGGAGGTTCCCGGCTCCATAGCGACCCGGTCGCCCACCTTTAGGGTTTTGACGGCTGATCCGACTTGGGTGATGATGCCTGCTGACTCGTGTCCGAGCACCATTGGATCTTTCAAGACGAATGAACCAATCGAGCCGTGTTCCCAGTAGTGGACCTGTTTCGGGGATTGATTAGTCTGGATCAAGCTGTTTCGAGAGCATATTACATACATCACTGCCGCAGATGCCGGTGTACTTGACGTTGATGATCACATCGTGGGGATTCTTCAGCTCGGGAACCGGGCGGTCTTCAAACTTCACCTTATGGATTCCCTGAAGGACGAATGAAAGGTTCTGCATGGCTATCAGACTTGTGTCTCGTTCAATGCTGAGTCGGTTCCTACCTGGGCTGCGGCCATTGTGTATGTAGAGGGGCAGTGGTGGAAATCGGCAACAATGCGGGGGAATAGAGAGGAGGGCATGGGAAAAAGAGAGATTCTACCAAGCAAGACTAGCGGGATATATATAGAGAACTCCAAGATTAAAAGTATATGAACCGGAAGAATCCAGTCGAAATGAATTGAACCGAACAACGCAGAGCTCCCCGCAGGTCCAGAGTTCCACTTCGATGTGGATCGGCCTTTTTTTCTCTTTTCTTTTTTAGCCGCGATGATATTAACCGGGGACTTTTTTTTTTTCTGTCTGGCGAGATTATCTTCCCTGAAGTCACAAGAGGCAAAAATGATCAGGGCATGTGACCCAGTTCCTTTTTTTTTTTTTTTTTGGGAGTCAAGTGATGCGTAATTTCGGATATAGGGAATGTGTATAGTATCTATATTTTTGTCGTGGTCTTTGTAGGATTTAGTACTCGATTATAAGAGATCGGATGATGTTGAGAACATAACACACCCATTAAAGAGACTACAATAGACTGCTGTATACTGCTATATACTGTTCTATACTACTATACACTGCTCTATACTACCATTCTACCATTAACTGAATACACATGTATCTTCTCCAACTACTATATCTCTGCGTTTAAAAAAAAAGCATCGGCCCGGATGCCAAGACCCCGGAACTCGGTCCGTCCTCCACACCTCTCACCTCTCTTCTCTGAGAGCTCTGACAGCTCTGACGTCTGAGAGCTTCACTTCGTCTTATTAGTTGCAATGGTCTTTAATGTCCTCGCCCTAGGGGCGCGCAGTCTCCGGAGTCGACCATCACCCCGCCTTCTGCGTCATTTTGCATACTCGGCCAAGCAAACCAAGGAAAACCAATCATTCAAGAGTCAACTATACGAAAGTACCCAACAGCGTTTGAAGCGCGAGCGTGCCGAACAAGAAAAGTTTGCTCAATACCAGACACAGTCCCCCGCAGGTCGCTCTGCCGCCCTGGTCTTCGGTATGTGATGCCGAGATAATCTTGCCTTTTCCTCGGGATAGGTCATTGGCTAACCAAACCTGCAATCGCGCTGTAGCTTTGGTTTTCTTCTCAACTGGTGCTTACTACCTCGGATCCCTCAAACCCGCAGCTCTACCCCCTTCATCCACGACTCCCCTCTCTGAGATCGAGGCCCCGAAACACAACGTCTCTCCCTCTAACCTCCAAGCCGCGTGGGCTGATTTCGTCGAGATCTTGGGCAAGGAAAATGTCTCGACTGCAAGTGGCGACTTGGAATCGCATGCTGGATCTGATTGGTCCTCCTACTCCCAGAAAGAGGATGAGAAGCCCTTCTTGATCCTCTACCCGTCAAGTACCGAGGAGGTCTCGCGCATCATGAAAGTCTGCCACCAGCGCGTTATCCCCGTCACCCCGTACTCCGGCGGCACGAGCTTGGAGGGCCATTTTGCTTCTACGAGAGGCGGAGTGTGCGTGGATTTCCGTCGTATGGACCGCATCTTGGAGCTCCACAAATGTGACTTAGATGTTGTTGTCCAGCCTGCGGTTGGATGGGAGGATTTGAATGAGGAGATCGCCAAGGATGGCCTTTTCTTCCCGCCGGACCCTGGTCCTGGTGCAATGATTGGAGGGATGGTCGGAACAGGATGCTCGGGAACTAATGCCTACCGGTACGGGACAATGCGTGAGTGGGTGCTGTCTCTCACTGTTGTCCTCGCTGATGGCACTATAATCAAGACCCGACAGCGGCCGAGGAAGTCTAGTGCTGGTTATGACTTAACCAAGCTCTTTATCGGCAGCGAAGGCACTCTTGGTCTGGTAACGGAGGCGACCCTGAAGCTGACAGTCAAGCCCCAGAGCGAGAATGTCGCCGTCGCAAGCTTTGGCACTATTCAGAGTGCTGCAGAGTGTGTGACCAATGTGGTGGAGGCTGGTATCCCTGTCGCTGGTGTTGAGATTCTGGATGATATCCAGATGAAGTGCATCAATGCCAGTAAGACTACCCGCCGTCAGTGGAAGGAGTCTCCCACCCTGTTCTTCAAATTCACTGGCACTCCAAATGCGGTTAAGGAGCAGATTGGTATGGTGCAGAAGATTGTGTCTAGAAGTTCGGGCAATACCTTTGAGTTTGCCCGTGGCAAGGCTGAAATGGCAGAACTCTGGAGTGCTCGCAAACAGGCGCTGTGGAGTGTTATGGCTATGAAAAAAAACCCAGATGACCACGTCTGGACGACCGATGTCGCGGTCCCGATTAGCAAGTTGCCCAATATCATGGAGGCAACCAAGGAAGATATGACCAAGAATGGCTTGTTGGCCGGAATTTGTGGCCATGTTGGGGATGGCAACTTCCATGGTAAGCTATTGCCTTGATTTCGACATGCCCCAAATTCATTCGACATTTATTAACAGCCGCCAGCGATCATCCTCTTCAGCGACAGTGAGAAGAATGTAGCCGAGGGAGTTGTGCACCGCATGGTGAAACGTGCTGTGGAGATGGAGGGCACTGTCACCGGAGAGCACGGTGTTGGTCTTGTCAAGCGAGACTATCTTGAGCACGAGTTGGGTGAAACTACAGTTGACACAATGCGCCGGGTAGGTCTTGATATACATTCTCATTCAACCTCCAAATCCAAAACATACCCTTATCTACGCCCATGGAGCACACCACTAACACTCGTATCTGCATTCCTAGCTGAAATTGGCTCTTGATCCACTCCGCCTGCTCAACTGCGACAAGGTTGTTCGCACCGAACAACCGGCTCCCGGAGAAATTAAGGAATGGTAGATGTCTGTGTCGGTCGTCCATTGCAATAGGATCCGTCACTAGCTCCGAAACTATTTTCGGGGAACTGCTGAAACTACCTAATCCGAATCCAAACCAGATCGTTCATGGTGATGATGGTGATGATGGTGGTGTCGATGGTGTCGATGGTGTCGGTGAGAATGTTCCTCATCGCTGCCCTCACCGCGAGAGCCCGAACGGTACCTGGTGCGCTCCTCGTCCTCATATTGTCGCTCGGCGCGGTATCCATCGCCGCCCTCTCGCTGACCATAACCCTCTTGTGGCCTATAGCCAGAATTCTCAAATTCATTGTAGCCAGGCTGCGGTCTACCATACACAGAGGACTCCCTGTATATTGTGGTCAATATAAGAGACTAGCCAATTACAAAGAATGAATTTAACTTACTGTCCATATTCCTCGCGAGAAGGTGGGCCTCCGTATCTATAGTGTACCTCTGAACGCTGATATTCAGATTGGCCACTTTGGTAGGTCTCCCATGTCTGCTCCTGATAGTAACCCTGGCTTTCCGAGTGGTATTGGTGGTGCTCCTCGCGGTGGAAGTTCTCCGCTGGAGCTGCGTAGCTAGAGTACTCATCGCGGCGCGGAGGCGGTTGTTGATAGACAGTTTCACTTTGATATTCGTATCCGTCGGGACGAGGACGGTATTCTTCGTGGTGAACCGGGTACTGACCGTAGCCTCCGTAGCTTGGTTCGCTTGACTGACTAAATCCACTATGGCGAGGAGGCTGTATTTGACTAAATGAGTCCCCTCCATATTGCTCGTGGCTCTCATGTTGGGGTCGACTCTGGTAA